CACAGCAAAAGAGGATTGACTATGATGAGACATTTTCCCCTGTGGTTAGACATATTCGATCAGGGCTGCACTTGCATTGGTGGCTAGTTGGGATTTGCATTTGAAGCAGATGGATGTGAAGACTGCTTTCTTGCATGGTGATCTCGCAGAGCCTATTTACATGCAGCAGCCAGAGGGCTTTGTTCAACCAGGGAAGAAGCATTTACTTTGCAGGTTGAAGAAATCCTTGTATGGCTTGGAGCAAGCATCGTGGCAGTGGAATATACGGTTTGATTCGTATATGGTGAATATTGGCTTTAAGCGTTGTCATTTTGATTGCTGTGTTTACACTAAGAGCCTTGGTGATGGTTCTATGATTTTTCTGTTACTTTATGTTGATGACATGCTTATTGCTGCCAAGAATATGCGTGATATTATTGATCTGAAAAGCCTTTTGGGTCAGGAATTTGAGATGAAGGATTTGGGGGCCGCGAAGAAGATTCTTGGGATGGAGATTCACAGGGATAGAGGATCAAAGAAGCTGTGGTTATCTCAGAAGGGTTATGTGGAGAAGGTGCTACAGAGGTTTGGGATGAATGAAGCAAAACCGGTGAGCACTCCATTAGCAAACCACTTCAAGCTTTCTGTTGATCAGTGCCCCAAGTCGGACAAGGAGACTCACGATATGGTGGAGATACCTTATGCCAGTGCTGTTGGATGTCTGATGTATGCCATGGTATGTACTCGTCCTGATTTAGCTCATGCTGTTGGTCAAGTTTGCAAGTATATGTCAAGGCCGGGTAAACAAGTTTGGGAGGCAGTCAAATGGATTTTTAGATATTTGAAAGGTACTGCAGGACATGGTATTGTATTTGGAGATCAGCGGTTGGATCCTTTGGTTGTAGGATATGTGGATTCTGATTATGCTGGGGACTTGGATAATAGGAGATCTACCACTGGGTATGTCTTCACTTTTGGAGGAGGGCCTATTTGTTGGAGGTCGAATACTCAGCCTATAGTTGCTCTATCTACAACTGAAGCTGAGTATATTGCTTTGGCTGAAGCGGCAAAGGAAGCAGTGTGGCTTGCTGGATTGGTTAGAGAGTTGGGTATTCAACAAGGTGGAGTTCTAGTACATTGTGATAGTCAGAGTGCCATTCATTTGGCTAAGAATCAGATATATCATGCTAGGACGAAGCATATTTATGTGAGGTTCCACAAGATTAGGGAATGGATTGCTTCTGGTGATATTCAATTGGAGAAAGTTCATACTGAAGAGAATGCTGCTATATGTTGACTAAGACTGTTACTTCTGACAAATTCAAGCATTGCTTGGATTTGTTGAATGTTTCTGCATGCTAGAGTTGCATTGTACCCCCGGCCTGCTTGGTGTGTCTCGCAGAGGTGCTCGCTATTGTGTTCTCCTAAGGAGGTGATATATTCGCCAAGGTGGAGATTTGTTGATATGGCTCATATATTGACAAAGGAAGGAGGCAGGCTGATGCCCGCGAGCGTAACGGAGCGAACGTAGCGAGGGAAGCGGAGTGACCGAGCAAAGTGAGCGGAGTGGTGTATCGATGTATTTGTGACTATTGAGAATAATAAAGATCCCTCAGCCGCCGTGGACGTAGGCACATTGCCGAACCACGTAAATCTTGTGTTATTTACTTTTCTCATTTTTAATTCGTATGCCATATTGTCATCTTCACTCAACACGAGATATATGAAATAAAGTCCAGATATTCTAAGGGTGTGATTGGATATGAGAATTTTTCATTCATATTTGATCAACTCAAAATTTAAGTCAACTTAACTCAATCAAACTATTCATAATATTATTAATATAATTAAATAGTATCGGCCAATCATTCTTGCACATCATATCAACTTTAATTCACAATTCACAACCTCACGTTATTTTAACTATTCATCACTGTTGATAAACGAATTTTACCAGCTATTTAAGTTATAATATCTAAGATTAGACGGAATTAAGATGATTTTATTGCTATAATATGCTTGGGTACAATGTGGTTTTTCGGAGTAACAAGTCGGGATTTTCGAACACGAGGTAGGGTTTTTTTTCTAATGGAAGTCGGTTGCAGACAAGAACCAAGGTGTTAAATGCGATATTAAATGTGTTCGAAAAAGATCCTCGTATTGAATTTAATTCAGCTATTTATAGTAACTTTCGGCCGTCCTTTGAGGAGATTCGACGGCATTTAATGCGTTGTGACAACATAGGCGCAACTTTTACAGCAGGTGGGTCCCGCTGCAATAATGCCTTCACGTGGGTCGAGACGTTTGATTGACGGGCATTTAATGCGGTCTGCGGCGGACGTCGGTTCATTGGGGCTACGACCTGATCGAGGTCGGCCCATTTGTTGAGGTCGGCTTTCCCGTTTACCCGAGGTATTTTCTCTTGCTTTAGCTTCTTCGTCTTTTTCTTCATGCCATACACGTGTCGCCAATCTGAACCGTGGGGTAATTTTTATGCCAACATAGAGGCCCCTGGCATTAAGAGACACATAGACTTATGGTGCCTTTTAATGCCATAATTCCCTTCGACGACGTTTCCTCTAAGGCGACCTTGATCGACTTCTGGTCCTTAGCCAATATCCTGATAATTCGAGGATAATATCGTTCTTCTCCTAAAACGGTGCGTGGTTTCACAAAACGACGCGCCTGTCGCTTTCTATCTTAGGTGGTTACGCCTATTCATGACACGTTCTCACGATCTTCCTATCCAACCTTACGTGGCGCGCCCCCATTGGTCCGCGTGCATTTACGGGGGGGATAGCGTGAACCGTTTCTGCCTTTTAATCGTGACGGTTTCAGACGTCAGTTCATCCCCAACGGTCACAAAGCTCACATATAAATACTCATTCCCCCTAATTTTTGTAGATATCCACTTATCTTCCTTAAATTTTCGTCATCTTCTCCTAGTTCCTGTCCTTCTGCCTTTTTGACCTTTGTCATCCCGTATTCCGACATCAGGTCGCCTGTTTGTGGTGAGTTCTTTTACTTACATTCTCTTTGTTTGTTTTCCTTTGCTTTACTTTTTGAAACTCCGTCGATTTCTGAGAGATGGCGGAGCGAGCGACGACTAGCAGCAACAGAACAGTCTCTGACAAGGCGGTCCGTGGGGCTACTTCCGACAATGAAGTTAACATGAAACTGGCGTTGTAGTATTTCCGCTGGGACCCGGTGTTGGTTGAGCGTTTAGTCTTGAAGAAGAACAATCATAAAGGGGACGCCGAGGTAGAAAAGGATCTGCCGACGCGTGAAGGCTATTGGAATCGCCCCTATCGGCATTGGCCCGACGCCGACGCGGTCTTACCTGAAGAACCTAGAACGATGCATGACGTAGAAGTGGTCTTGTTGAGGAAGTCGGCTCGGATTCCTCCCACTGTAAGGATGTTCGCCCCCTACCCCGGGGACAGGATTCACTCACCTCCTCCTGGTTGCGTGGGGTTTTTTGCCTAAAGTGTTAGGTCGGGGTTAAGGTTTCCCATCCCCAATATGATTACCGACTATCTCAGGGACTGGGGGATCGAAATAAGCCAGATTACGCCGAACAGCTGGAAGAAAATCGTCGGTCTGATGGTCCTTTGTAACCAGAAAGGATGGTCGTTTCCCTCGATTGATGAGTTCAGGAGCATTTTCTTCTTTAAGCGAAGTCGGGAGCACGAGGGTGTACCACCTTCTGGTTGCTTCTTCTGCTCTGCTAAGGCACAGGAGGAGCTGAAAGCTGGCCAGCTAATCACCAGGATTCTCGACATGTTACATGACTTCCAGAAGGAATGGTTTTGGGTCGGCGGCGACTGGGAGTCGGCCGACTTCCGTTTGAACCCTCCAATCGACGGGATGACCGTCCCCAACTGAACTGTCTCTTCATATTATGAGTGTTCATTCATATTCATCTCGGTACCTCTTAACTGGTGGTTTTTTCTTTCGCTAACAGGTCCGAACTTTTGGTGTTTGTAGCTAGAAGGAAGAAAGAGCCCAAGCTCAGTGACGAGTTCGAGGAAAAACTCAAAGAACTCGCGAAAGTCGACCATCTCGACCGTGGGTGGCGCAAGTTGTTGAAGGAGACGGAGTTGGCGAAAGCGGGGTTGTCAGCACCATGTCCGTTTAAAGTGATCACTCCAGGTAAGTCTAGCTTTGTCTCGAGTTTGGAGTTCTATAATTCTTCATGTATCTCCTATTAACTTTCTTTTGCTCGTATTTTTAGTTTACTATCCAATCCTAGGTTTCTTTGGCTTCAAGTCGATCGAAGAAGCCCAGGCTTTTTGTCACAAATTCTTGAATACCGATGTCCAACCCAATTTTAGGAGGGAGATTGACATGGGTTGCTTGAAGTTTTTGCAAGGTTTGAAGAGTACTGCCTCTGGCCTAGGTGCGACCGCAACTGGTACCTACGTCAAACTAGTGCCCTCGACCGAGGAACCAAAACCGGTCCAGACGTTGGGACCCGGTCTGACTACCGACCAGATTCAAGGAACC